TAGCCTTCTGCTGATTTTTCAATTGTTTTCTTTAATATTTTTCCAGTATCGTTCTAGTATCTTTTCTGGGTGCTCGTGTGGAAGGCCTGGCTTCTAATTACCTTGATCTTCCTTTCCTAGATACAGAGATGCAATATTTGCTTTTTGTCAGCCCTGTTATACCTTTCCTTGTACTCTCAAATGTAATTACTGAGAGTTTGGAGATAATTTGGTTGGATCCTTAAACAGTAACTTGATTAGCTGTAACTAGCCTAAACAGTCTTCACTCCAGTCTTTCCATACTCTGACCTGTTCTCTTTTCCCAATGCATAACACTATTGCAGTGAGTATCTGTTAACTTTTCTCTGTATAGAAAGAAATGACATTTGACATGTCGTCTGTCGATTGCTGTCCTTCTTTAAATAGCAGACCTGGCTGGTTTTTGTTATTCTTACTCCTAATGCGTTTATATAGCCTTTTCTTACCTTTTATGTCCCGTAGTGGGCTATCAACTAAACCTTCTAACTGGAGAATTAATTGCTGTTAGATAATTCTTGTTAGGCACCTCTGTCTGTAAGGGAAAAAGAGGTGATCTAGGGTATTCCCATTCACTTGTGGAAAGCTGGGCTTTCACTTGTGCAAATGAAGGTCTGGAGCGTATAGGAACAAGAAGTGTTCAGCATTTCTAAAAATTTGACTTGATTTAGATTTAGAGTCTCCCATTTTTCTGGCAGAAAGGAATTGGATTAATTTTAAGCAACTATGTCTGTGTTCATGTAGCACAAGAGGAGAGTGGACAACTGCACCCAGCTCAGTGCAGCACAAGAAACGAGGCTCTTATATTCTCAAATCAATTGGCAAAGGAAGAAAAAAATGTGAAATAATGAGAAAAGAATAAATCAGTAACATGGAAACCAGCTAAGAGGCAGGCTGGATGGCACTTCTGGCTTGAATATCTGCAGTTCAACCTAAGTAACTGTATCAGAGGTATTTTTCCTGAAATACCTACGTAACTTAGGATCCAATATGAGCTTCAGCTCACAGGACTCCCAGTCTTCCTGAACAACAGGGTTGAAGTTTTTAAGTGTCTTTGACTTTTAATAATGAGATTTTAACCTCTCAGTTATATGCTTTTGAAAATGCTTTTCAGGCTTTCTTTTTTCTGAAAATTTTGAATTTATAGTCATCTTCCATTATATCAAAAGGAGATAAAAAATATAATCAGTGGATGGCAGAATTCCCTGGGAAAAACCGAAAAGAGCCCCATGTCAGTGATGTATAAGGGAATACTGCCAAGAAAAAGAGGCAGTCTTTTTTTAGGCTGGAGTTTTTACAGGCATATTGCTTTTAGGCTTTGGTGTTTTGTTTTTTTTGTGTGGTTTTTTTATCTGCTGCAGACAAGAGGTCTCAGACAGCCTTTGTGAAGGAAGACTATTGTAAACCATGAAACGTTCTCTTCCTTCCTCCAGAGATTCCACTGGCAAAGTGATTCTGATAAAAGTTTCTTCCACTCAACTTCAGAGCTTCTGCCACGAGAAGGATGAGCACTTACCAGTAGGAAGTTCATAAAACAACATGAAAAAGTGAATCCAACACAAAAAGTGTTGGGTTGACGGTTGGACTCGATGATCTTAGAGGCCTTTTCCAACCTCAATGATTCTATGATTCTATCTCCAGGAAAAGGTGTAAGATTTTCTGCCTTCTGGCTCCAGAGAGGATATAAACTGTTCTGGAGTTGTCTATAATTTTTCTGTGTATACAATTATAACAGCTGATCAATGTTTTAGGAAAAAAAAAAGGCTGGCCTATCAAAACTCATTATCATTAGTTTGTATTAGGACAATGTTTACAGAACCCCTGTGAAATTAGACCCTGCTGCATGATGTACTGTACAGGTGCATTAAAAGTACCAGCCTCTATTAGGAGGGTTTACAATCTGAAGAACACAGACAGAGAAAGGTTGGCAGGCAGGAAATGTTTTCATTCCCAATTTACAGATGAGCAGCTGAGGCTAAAGAAATAGCAGTCCTGATCTGATGCTACCTGGAAGTCTCTGGGAGTCTGGTTGTTCTGAGCAAGGCTGGCCCAGGCCTGGGCTTGCAGAATGCATCTGTGGCATAGCCAAGAGTTAACCTCAATTTTCCAGAGTTTCTGATGGTTTATTTGTGATTCTAGCTTTGTTAGTTCACACCTGCTAGAAAGTGTTCCTCTCCTACAAATATTCAGTATGTTGTTTTTAATCTTCACTCTAGTCCGTAACTGACTCTGACATGCTTTCTAGGACTTTGTTGCAATTTCTAGTAAACTCTCATATTTTGATAGTAATTGAGGCTGTTTTAGAATGTGCTCTATCCTCTTTTCTGTGATGGATTCCTTTGGGCAGAGATCTATTAAGGTATGGCTACTTGACAAATATTTTTTTGTGAAAAAATTGGGAATTGATACCAGCTGAGATCTTAGCTTGGGATCCAGGAGCCACTGATTTTTATTCTGTAAGAACAGGTGGAGGCTCCAAATTAAGAGCTCCAACATGCACTGTATAAGCTATAACTATGCTTTACAGATATGAAGTGGGTGCTACCCTATGTCCTCCTGTTGCTGACAGCCCTTGTTGAGTCCTTTTAATGTCGAGCCTCATTAACCCTCACCCATAATTGTGAATCTTTGTCTGGGATACCAGTTTGGCAACTGGAGTGTCTGGTAGAGTCTCCATAGTAAGTGCCTGAGTGGACATGGAACAAGGGATGGGGTGACATGGCTGATCAGGGCACAAGAGAATAATACCACTTTGTATTGACCAGGGTTGGGAGGGCTGGGGAATGTGGACTCTGTGACAAGCTTCTAGTGTTGTACCTTTGCACAGGGTTGATGTCATAGCTTAACCCCAGCTGGCAACTAAGCACCACACAGCTGCTTGCTGCCTCCCCCCAGGTGGAATAGGGGAGAGAATTGGAAGGGTAAAAGTGAGAAAACTCGTGGGTTGAGATAAAGGCAGTTTAATAGGTAAAGCAAAAGTCACGCATGCAAGCAAAGCAAAACAAGGAATTCATTCACTACTTCCCATCCGCAGGCAGGTGTTCAGCCACCTCCAGGAAAGCAGGGCTCCATCATGCGTAACAGTTACTTGGGAAGACAAACGCCATCACTCCGAACGTCCCCGCCTTCCTTCTTCCTCCCCCAGCTTTATATGCTGAGCATGATGTCACATGGTATGGAGTATCCCTTTGGTCAGTTGGGGTCAGCTGTCCCAGCCGTGTCCCCTCCCAGCTTCTTGTGCACCCCCAGCCTACTCGCGGGTGGGGTGGGGTGAGAAGCAGAAAAGGCCTTGACTCTGTGTAAGTGCTGCTCAGCAATAACTAAAACATCCCTGTATTATCAACACTGTTTCCAGCACAAATCCAAAACGTAGCCCCATACTAGCTACTATGAAGAAAATTAGCTTTATCCCAGCCAAAACCAGCACAGTTGACAACCGAGTTAATATGTCTATTACTTGTGATGCCCATTCCCTACTTACAGCCCTCAACAGTACTTTTGAGACCTCTGTAACAGAGGCAAGAAGGATACTTAAGTGAGAATATCCAAAACTACTGTTGCACACAGTATGGCAAGTCACTCATCACTGAAGTGGCATACATGTGAAGGTGCGCATGAGGATCAAGGAGTGTAGTGTAGTGGTGCAGCCGGAAGACTATTGTGCAGGGAGTCAGTGATCCTCATGCTTACTGCCTTCTCATATGCACAGGTGCACTCTGAATAGGCTGTGACCGCTTACCAACCCACTATAGCAAAGTGTCCATGATTACTCAGGCATGTGTCTCCATACCATGGACACCATGTGACTGCTGTCTGCAGTAGTATAATTAATCAGTGTATACACAATAAATGTGCATGAATTCAGTATGAGACAAGTGTATTGTCTTGTCCACCTGAAATATTATATGCACCTATTCAGGAATTGTAACTCTATTAAGGTAAGGATAGTGGAGCACGTTGTCCAAGGGACTCTTCAAAGCTAAGTCCACATTCCAAGCTTGACTGCTACGAGTGACTGATGAATCTGTGTTGTGAGCAAGACTCTAGAAGAGTACTAGCAATCCTGGGGCTGGCAAACCTTACCACAAATGAGAACTCTGCAGAGTGTGCTGTGATCCACAAGGAAGGGCTTGTCCAATGCTGCAGTTTCTATCTTCTACTCAAACTTAGTTAACCAGCTTTGAGTGTTGGTGCCTTTCTTACTGAGATACCAAAAGAAATGGCGCCTCCTTGGTGCAAAACATTATGCTAGGTGAAAAGTTGGAATCTGCTTATTCATGCAACTAACTTAAACTAACCATCCTGCTCCGTCCCGATATCCTGGAATTGTGTGTTTCTGTCAGTAAAACTATGTAGTGCAGTACTTGGCAGTTTGTCAGCACAGGGTTGATCTGGCAAGGGGAAGCATCAGGCTTAATGTGTGGGAGGGCCAGATCCTGGGATTTTCCGAGAAATTTTTTTCCACACGGAATTTCCCGTCTTGTGGAGGACAGGCCAGTTGAGAGAATAAAAGGCCGTAGTAAAGGCAGGGGATTACGCAGTCCAGACACTTGGAGCTGAACTTAATCTTCAAGTCCGTATTCAGCAACTTAGCAACAGAAAGCACTCGCTAGAAGTATCGCAGAAGACTTTTGCCACCTGGCCACCACAACTGCAATCTGTGAGTAGAAATGGAGCGTGTTATTCTGTTTCATTGCTCAGCTAAAGGAAAACTGGACAGATGGAATTCTGTGTTGGTGTTCTTTAAAAGCTGTTTAAATTTAAAAGCTATCTTGATATTAAGAACTGTTTTTTAAAATGAATAATTTCCTAAAAATGGAAATCTTATTTAAGTCTTTAGAATAATCGTTAAAAAGTATGTAGAAAAGATTGCATAGTCAGTATTTTATATTGAATTGTAAAAAGTCAGTATTTGTTCTTTACAAATGTGTTCCTTTGATCTTTCATAGCTGTCTGCTTAAAAGATAAAGAGAACTTTCAGAAACATGATTTCCTTGTGGTTCCTATCTCTTCTTGCTTATGGTAAGTGTGTATGTCTCTGTGTAGAAAACTAGTTGGATGGTAATATTAGTTCTGTTCTGTTTCAGCTCAGAATTAAACAGAGTTTTTGAACGTGACCTGATTAGCTTGAGGCTAGGTTCACACAGAAAAACCTGTAGCTGCAATGGCATGTTTCCTTGGTTGCCTGTCAAACAAGTAATTGGCTCCTATAGTTTGCTATGAAGTCTGCAAAGCTTTGTGTCATTGGGCATAGTTTCACAGGCTGAAGTCCTTGTACTTGATGCTGACATGCCTGTTTTGAAGCTTGCCAGTTCATTGTTTATAAAATAATTGCCATTGCTTTTTATGCAGTTTCAGATATTGACAAGTTTGCAATATTTAAGAGCTTTATATATCCTCTTCTAGAGCGAGAGGAGAGAAAAAGTCAGACATTAACTTTTTGACATCTTTTCATTCTAGGACTTACAATACTGCAGGAGGCGAATTGTTGGACATACCATTATTCAGACACAAACATGACCTACAGAGAAGCAGAGCTGTGGTGCAAAAAGAGGTATACTAACATGGTTGCCATTCAGAATAAGGAGGAAATCAACTATCTCAATAACTTCTTACCCTTCAACCCGGGTTACTACTGGATTGGAATCAGAAAAATTAATGAGGTATGGACCTGGATTGGAACTAACAAAGAACTAACAGAAGAGGCAAAAAACTGGGCTTCAGGTGAGCCAAATGGCAAAGGGAACAACGAGGACTGTGTTGAAATCTACATCAAAAGAGGGAAGGATGATGGCAAATGGAATGATGAGCAGTGTGAGAAAAAGAAGGTCGCCTTATGCTACACAGGTATGGTATGACAAAGGCCATCCTAGCGTGCCTCTGTGAAGATGAGATGGTGGGTGGGATGAGTTTTTTAACCTAATCTTACATATTAACTACCTGACCCTGTAAGCACTTGTACGCTTATCCTTACTTACAGGGCTGAGGTTGTTCTTGTTCTAAGAGCTGGATTGATCTCACTTACCTTTTAGCTCCCAGAATATTATACATCTTTTATGAGCAAATTACCAGACCTTCTCCATAATCAGTGGAGAGAAACAGGCTCTTCCAGATGGTGACTTTCATCCCACTTTCAAGTGGGTGTCTCAGCTAGATAAGAATGGCCCTTTTGGAGGCATCTGTCATCTGACTATAGACCGCTGGATTAAATTAGACACTTTGTGTGGAGGTGGCTAAGGCTAGGTCAAAAAAAAAAATCCAAGTCAAGTATCAGTCAAATTAGAGCTGTGGTGAGTTAATGAAGAATGTACCTGTTGAGGATTTCTACCTACCCCATAGTATATTGTTACTTTTGTATTTTAAGTATTGCTAATATTTACCTGAGAACAAGTGGTCATGGAGTTTCCCACCAGTAGAATGCTTTCACTGTGGGCTAGTCTGTCAAAGGTGTTGATTTCTGAAATGCTTCTGTGAAATGACAAGGTGATCTTATGTACCAAACACCCTGCTTTTCCTTTGCTGTACAAAGTGCTTGTTCAGTGCCAGAAAGATAAACAAAGCACTAGCCAGGTTTCATTAGTGGCTATTGCTGATTCTTTTATAATTTGCTGTATTTTTTTCTTTTCTTTTTTTCCCCCAGCTTCTTGCAACCCATCTCTCTGCAGTGGCCGTGGAGAATGCATAGAGACTATTAACAATCACACCTGCCATTGTAACCCTGGATTCTATGGGCCTGAATGCGAGTTTGGTAAGATTACTCCATCCTGCTTTTCAACCAGGGTGATGTTCATGCTAGCTAGTGTTCAGTTTGTCTGGCTTGTTGATTTAGCTGCACAGCCACTGAGACTGACTGTGTACCTTCTTGTGTTTCTTTGAAGTTGAGAGTTGTGATCCACTAAAGAAACCTGATCATGGGAGCCTTGAGTGCAACCATCCATTGGAGAACTTCAGCTACAACTCATCCTGCACAGTTCAGTGTGAGGAAGGCTATGAACTGACTGCACGGGAATCTGTATACTGTACCTCTTCTGGGGTCTGGTCTGGCCCCCTCGCAGCATGCAAAGGTGAGCTTCTCAAGCAGTGATAGATGAGCTTTCTACATTGTACATAGCTCTGTAAACTTCAGTGTTGCTCTGTTAGTAGGTGCAAATTGAAGTTCTGGCCCATTCCTTTGTAATTAATTACGTGGTGAAGGTGCTATTCTATTGCAGCACACAGATGTCTCTGTTCCTGAAGAGATGAAATGGGCAGGATGAATGTTCTGGCCCTGGTCTAGATTTCCTTGTAGGGAAAGACTTTTCCACCTCTTAGTGGGGAACAGGGAATGGAGATGATCTAGCTGTGAGACTGCGCACAACAGGCCAGTTATTCCTGACCATAGAAATTATTTTTTGAGGTGTTCAGCTTAGAATAAGCTACTGTTTGAAGCAAATAAAAGCATGAAACATTACCAAGCAGCAGTCAAAATGGGAAAATTTTGGATTGTAGCTAGTTGCTGTCATGAGCTGCAGATGAATTTACAGCCTTGCCTTAAGAGTCAGTCTTCCATTTTGAGATCTTTCCACTCCTATCTGCCTTCTGAAATGGCAGCATAATAGATCTCCTTTCTAAAGCGGCTTCCATTTAGTGGATATGTTGCTAAGTTTCAGGAAAGAAAAAAAACTTTTTATGGTTTGTTCCAAGCTAAGCTCTGTGCTGCCTCTTATGCTTTTCAGCTGTGACCTGTTCAGCCTTAGAAATGCCTGCTCATGGTGCTGTGAACTGCTCCCATTCCTCTGTGGAGCTCAGCTGGGGTACCACCTGCAAGTTCACCTGTGAGGAAGGATTTACCCTGACAGGACCAGCCACACTGCAGTGTGGGTCTTCTGGGGCCTGGGACAGGCAGCAGCCATCCTGTGCAGGTACCTTTCTTTATCCCTGCTCACCTGAGCACTTGGGGTTGTCAGCATTGGCATGTTGAATTCCTGAGGCATCTGTGCTGATTGCTGTTGTGATCTGTGTGTTCCAGCTGTGAGGTGTGAGGCTGTAACCTGGGCAGAAGAAGGCTTTGTGACCTGTGACCATGCTCCTGCAGATCTCACCTATCGCTCGCATTGCGATTTCTACTGCAGCAAGGGCTATGTTCTGGATGGCCCATCCAGCATTGAGTGCACGGCACAGGGACAGTGGTCAGAGCCAGTGCCAAAATGCAAAGGTAAGACTTACTGGGTTGGAAGACATCAGACTATTCAAGCTACTCTAAGCTTTAGTTGAAGGGACTTCCTCATTCAAGTGTAGTCAAGGAATAACAGTCATGCCCACTGTGTTTATAGCACTTTCCATAAGCAGATCTCAAGATGGGGATCATCTAGCCTGTTGTATTGAAGAGGAAACAGCAGTGCAGGGTGACAAGCAACACTCAGGAACTGTGTCCCCAACACACATGATAACAGGCTTTTGAAGTGGAGTGTTCTGACAGGAACTCTTTATTCCCTACACTCCAAATGGGAGCCAGTGTCTGCTTATGCAGTCCACTTGTGGAGTATAATCTGAAGCCAGTCTCAGGATAGCTTGCATGTTTTAGGTGCATGTTCAAGGGTTCTGGCTGCACTGTGCAACGTGCTGAAATACCTGTTTCCTGAGACACTGCTAGGTCTGAAGGGAAGTACTATGGCTCTGTAGGGTACAGCTCCAGGCAGGGCATGTCTTCTTGTCAACTCAAAGAAGAGTGTTTATCTTGACCTACTCCAAGCTAAGCTCTGTGCTGCTTCTTATGCTTTTCAGCTGTGACCTGTTCAGCCTTAGAAATGCCTGCTCATGGTGCTGTGAACTGCTCCAATTCCTCTGTGGAGCTCAGCTGGGGTACCACCTGCAAGTTCACCTGTGAGGAAGGATTTACCCTGACAGGACCAGCCACACTGCAGTGTGGGTCTTCTGGGGCCTGGGACAGGCAGCAGCCATCCTGTGCAGGTACCTTTCTTTATCCCTGCTCACCTGAGCACTTGGGGTTGTCAGCATTGGCATGTTAAATTCCTGAGGCATCTGTGCTGATTGCTGTTGTGATCTGTGTGTTCCAGCTGTGAGGTGTGAGGCTGTAACCTGGGCAGAAGAAGGCTTTGTGACCTGTGACCATGCTCCTGCAGATCTCACCTATCGCTCGCATTGCGATTTCTACTGCAGCAAGGGCTATGTTCTGGATGGCCCATCCAGCATTGAGTGCACGGCACAGGGACAGTGGTCAGAGCCAGTGCCAAAATGCAAAGGTAAGACTTACTGGGTTGGAAAATACAGTTTTCTTGTCACTGGACAGCACACTGAAATCCGTATTCCTATAGGGTCCTGGCTCCAAACTAAATTCTGTGCTGCCTCTCCTGTTTTCAGCTGTGACTTGCCCTGCCTTAGAAATGCCTGCTCATGGCTCTGTGAACTGTTCCCATCCCAAAGTCTAATGAATTTGAAAATACAGTGTACATCTACTAGTGAAAAAAAATAGGGCCAAAGACAGGAAAGTCCCTAATGACTCTTAACCTTTTCTTTCTGTATTTCAGTTGTACAGTGTGAACCACTGAGCTCTCCTGAGAAAGGCTCTATGGATTGCTCACATGGTGCTGGGAACTTCACGTACATCACAGCCTGCCACTTCAGCTGTCTAGAAGGATGGAGGCTCAATGGTTCTCATGTTCTTGAGTGCAGCCATTCAGGAAACTGGAGTGCCAGTCTGCCCACATGTGAAGGTATTTGACCTGTGACTAGCCACAGAGAAGTGGCACTGGGTTTCTAGTCAAATGAGGTATGGAAGGGTGGAGGAGGTAGCACCAACCAGTGAGCTAGAACTTCTAGTGAAGTCCATGAATTAAAAAGCCCAACATAATATCTCAGTATGTTTTTTGAAAACAGAAGGGGGAAAAACTCCTAAAAGATCTTGGTGAAAAATGTTGATTTCTTATCCAAAAACAAAAGCCGCAACCTGATTTTGGTTGTTTTTTACAACCTGGTTTGTTTGGTTTTTAATTAAAATATTTCTCCTGTTGAGCTTTTTCCATACAAATAAAGAAAAAAAGCTTTTCTAGAGAAACAGAACCTTGTGGGGAAATCTGCATTCATAAGTCTGTTTCTCAGTGGAAAAGTTTATGGATTTATTAATTTGGTGCGATAGTTTCTTGGGTGAACTCCTCAGCCAAAAGACCTTACAGAGCTTTTCTGTCAAAGGCTGTAATTTTACAGGACAACAGTCTCAGCCTTGCCTTCTCATTTGAGGCAGTAACAGCTCTGTCCCTGTCCTCAGTGGGAACATACTTGGCCTGCCTGAAATGCTTTTGCTTGAGGTCCTAAAAGCTCAACTCCACTTTATTTGCTTGAGCAGAATTTAGATCCTTTAGTAATTTCGTTGATCTCAATGGGATTGCTCAAAGAGGAAGACAGCATAGTGGGAATTAAAATATGAACCGAAACATGAAAAATAAAAGATGAGCATAAATTGTCATGTGAGGCTGGAGGTTAGACAGACCCTGGTATAGCTAGCTTGTTGCCTTGTCATTGCTTTGGCAATGGGTGGGATAATTTTTATTATGCAGCTTTTTACCTTGTGTACAGGATGTGTCCTGTCTCAGCAAGAGAAAACTTAAGGGTTACAAGCTGCAATTCTGGTTCCTCTTGAAGAGCACAAGGAAAAGGAAGAAGTAGAGAGGTCTTCGAAGACCTCACATGCCTCTTGATCTCACTGAAACTTTTTCATCCTTTCAGCTTCTGAACAAGTTAGCTATGTCTCTGTGGGCATAGCAGCCACAAGTGCCTCTCTGTTGTCCACAGCATTGTTCCTCCTTTGGCTTGCAAGGCGTTTCCAAAGAAAAGGTGAGCAATTGGACTGGGTCCACTGGTTTTATTTACCTTCCTGAAAAATTTTCAGTGGAGGAAAAAACCCAACCTCCAAATCCCAATACCTTGCTTTTTGAAAAAGTGAAAATCCCCATACTTAAACAAATTCCAAAATTATTTTCAAGAAGCCTGCATGCGTGCCATGTTTAGCTTTTGGATGAACATTTAAAAATCAAAAATAGTAAAAACCAAATATTTAGAAAACAAGAATTAGAAGAAAAAAGCCACATTCTATTTATCAGTAATTACTGCCAGGGAAAGTGAATGGGAATTTGAGATGGGGATAATGACAACACAGTAATAACTGCCTGTGAGATTTGTTGCTAGATAATGGCTTTTTATCAGATATTCAGAAATGAGAGGTTTTTTAGTAGAAGAAAAAGTTTGCATGAGGGGGCTTTCATCTTGAAATGCTAATACCTTTTCTTATTCTTCTTGCAGCAAAGAAATTTACTCCTTCCAGGTAAGTTGTGTCTCAAAAAGCAGCGTGAAAAACACTGCAATCACTTTGCTAAAATCCATTTGATACAAACCAGTTGTCATTAAAGTACTTTTTATTTCTGTTTTTTATAGTAGCTGCCAGAGCCTAACCATTGAAGGTAGCTTCCAAAGTGCTGGCCAGAATGTCTAACTCCAGGTGTTTCAGGTAAGCACACAAGATAGCTGCACTCACAAATTCTCTTCCTTTTAATCACACAAGCAATCAGAGCTGTTAATTGCTATACAATTGCTGAAATAGCAATATGTGCTTTGGGGTACCTAATATGCATCTTGGCGTCGCATGAAAGTTCCTAACGAGGCTGATGGATTTATTGCTTTAGAAATGGTTATTCAGCTCCTTAAGTATGATTGTGCTTAGCATTCTGTCCAGCCACGTATAGTATTAGGAACACTTTTGTGCATTTTTGCTACCTGCTGCATACAAAATTCCTCTGAAATGAGAACAAATACAAATCTATGCCAATTTTCCAATTTATAGAGGAATTTTTTTCTCTCTGCAGGAATTGAAGCCATCTTTACTTACGTCTCAGAGACTTCTGGAGAATGAAACTGCACGCAAATCAACAGCTGTCCAGATGTTTTTACCTCTTGCTAACAAGATGATTGACCTCGTGTGTTGCTCGAAAATTTTGAACTCAAGCTGTCTGGTATTTCCATTGAAGACAAGCAGAGAGTAAAACTCTGGCCTTCTGGCAAAATACTTTCTACATTCAGTCATGTAGTTATCATAACTGGGAGCTTGCCATCTCTTGTCCAGATGGTGAGCAAATAGTAAGCTGCTGCCTAAAGAGGAGGCTGGTTTCTCCTCTGGTCTACTCAAAGGTACCTAGATGAGGTGAAGACATGCATTATTTCACATCACTTACTACACTGCTGGAGATGTCTTCTCTGGAGGCATATGGGATATACTTGCAGAAACAGAATAATCGGGATGGAAAAAATATTCATTGAATAGCCTTGAAATCGTTGATCTGGTTTATTGTTGAAGTCAGTTTATTTTAAGAGGATGTCCCAGTCAATAAATATGCCTGTACTGATATGGGCAATTATTTGGGTTTCTGCTGCATGTCCCAGAAAGCTTAGGGACTTTAAACTCTTTTTTTTTTTTTTTTTTTTTGTAATAGCACTAGGAATCGTAGTGCTTATACTAGGTACTCTGGTTTCTGAATGCAGCAAGTAGATCTGAAATGATCTCATCCCTGTGGGATTATGCACTGTAATACAGGTGTACACATAAATATTTAATTGTGCAATTTTTACTGTGGATATTTCTGTGCTGTTAACTGTAAATGTATTGTAAAATACCTGTTCCTGAATAGGTCTGTGGCCATTGATCTGGGCCCAGGTAATTTTAAAATAATTCAGAGGTTTGTAAAGATTTCATGCCTGCATATTATTTACAAATAAAATGGAAGCCTGAGATTTGTATATATATATTGCAAGTATGATTTATTAAGCTGTTAAAGGACTTTAAATGAAAGTCTTTCTTAATAAGTTATGTTTAAGTTAGAATCATAAATTAAGAATCTGACTTAGAATCTGATATGTATTGTCCTATTTGTAACAGTATTTAATAAAATGTTTTCAATGTAATGCTCCCTTTTTGGAAACGTACATAATATTTAAATGATTTAGGTCAGCCCTGTGGGATATGGCTTCAGCAGCAGAATGTGAAGGGTTGGGGCAAGACTGGCTAAATAGCAAAGCTGTCCCTTATTCAGCTTTCTGTGTTTTCATAGCAGTCAAGGAAAGAGTAGCCAGCAGATGGCACTGCCTACTTGGGAGCTAGCACAGCCAGAGCTGGACCCCAAACCAGCATCCCCAGGCCTAAAAGGAAGGAGGAAGGCTCAGCGATGTGTCCTGTAAAGCAGGTGCCTGGACCAGCAGTGGGCTTTGTGACAGGCAGGCTCAGGAGGGAGAGGAGAGCAGAAAAAGAGGCAAGTAGGTGATCTTGGTGCATAGTTAACAGCACAAACCCCTCAGCCCATGCAGGTCTTTCGCAGCCCTTTCTGCTGGGAAGCTACCTGCGTGCTGGGAGACCATGGGCTAACAGGTGAAAGCACAGCTCTGGGGATTAGTGTTGACTGCTGTCTAGGGACCTCCACCCTCACCCTGGCTTGGGATGTAGCCAAAGACTCTGCCATGGGCTAGTGCTGGCCAGGTGCCAGCAATGGCCAGACAATCCTGTGGCCACACTTCCCCAACCCCTGACATAGCCAAGGAAACTGCACTGTGGCTCTCCATAGTTGTTGCCAGCAGCAGCCAGCCCTTGATTATAAACCAAGAGATGCATTCCTGCCCTAGGCAAGGCTCAAGAGAAGCCATCAGGCCTGTGAGCAATGGAGTCAATTAAGAGGTGCTGTGCCACAGTGGACAGGGCCCATTGCTCTTCATCCCAAACCGATTAATGAACTGAGAGCGGCTGTCAGTGCTTCCCCCGCCTTGACAAGGTGGGGCCCAACCGTGTGAGCAGATGTAGAGCAGTAATCCTTCAGGTTCCCTGAGGAGATGTACAGATTAGCCCGAAATGCCCTGCTCTGAATCCCTGCAGGAGCCGTTTTGAGACACCACCGCATGGGTCCCCCAGCCTGTCCTTGTTGTTGTCCTCTACATGCATGGCCCTGTCGCATCCTCTGGAGAGAGCTGCTCAGACCAGCGTGGCTTCTACCCTGCTGTAGTCAGGGCAGCCCAGCTTCTCCTTTCCCAGGAGTTTATCAGAGCTGGTGCTTCTAGCAGCTTTCCCTGGGATCTTACAGGGGCTTTACTGCCAGAAAAGACACTATAAAATTATCCGCTGTCTTTCTCCAAACCTTCATCCCTTGTGACTTCCAGAGGCAGCAGGAGTGAGACCACATGTGAGTGGGATTAGTCCTCTATCTCTCCTGTATATCCCCTAGGCCAAAGACTCCCTGAAGCGGATCCTCTTTGTTCCAGTGACTTACAGGTTACATCTATCCTCATAATTAACGTTAGTCTAGGGCACAGGCAAAACCCTAGCCTGTGCTTGTCCAGGTTGCTTGATTCTTGATCCTCTCCTGGCACTGTTTTTTCCTGCTTCAGGATATGAATTACCAGTTATGATGGCATGATGTGTCCAGGCCTTTAGGATCTTCAGGAAGTCATTTTATTTGCAGTGGATGTGTCTCTGTTGCAGTGCCTGTGAACACAGCTCTTCTGTTGTTTGCTATCTGTATAGTTCCTGTGCTGGAAAGAATAGTCGTGGGAATGCTTGCTGCCAGGCGGTCATTTAGTAACTCCATTGTATCACTCCTCTATATGGCGCAGTGTTGTGCAACCACCGAAGGGCCACAGGGTCTTTGCTGGAGGGACTTTCCTTATTTCCTGTTGTCCCATTTCCCTTAAATTCCTCAGCTCTCCCTGGGCCTGTGGCATTGTTCAGAATGGGATCCATGTTTTGCCTGGCATCTTATTTTGGAGTGGATGTCTGCTTGGGCCATAACCTATGGAAGCTGTGAAGGTGACATTAACTGGGAGGCACGCATGTCCTTACACAGCTCTGCGTGCTTGCTGCTTGGCAAGGGGATGGTTTTTGTGGCATAACTTAACACATTCCTGATGAACTGAGCTACTCGGGTGGCTTTAGCTTTTTACATCTGCAGTCCAACGGAGGGTGACTTAGAAACAAAATTTCACTTAAAGTCTCAGACAGGTAGCGTTTGATTTGGGGTAGGTGTCTCTGTGGCCCTTGGTGATATGGACAGTATAAGCCCTGCCCAGATTGGGTTTGTGCCTTCTGTTTTCATAAGCAATTAGCCATCAAACAAGCAGTCATTTACCAGGGCCTGGCTGAAGTGGCCTTCCAGAGCTCCAGTTTTCAAGGGTTGGACTGGACCCAGCATTTGGCCAGCAGTTTTTCACTCACGAAGATAGGTCACTGCTACAGGCTCTGGAGACTGCACATCTTTGCAGCTCCTTGCGTGCTTTGCTGAGGACTGGCAGCAGGGACTTTGAAGCAGCAGCTCCCAGAGGAGTTGGTGTCGTGATCAAATCACTAACCTGCTCAGCTCCTGCCCTGGGAGCTGTCAGAGGGTATTAGGGCCAGGAGGCCAGACTGCAACACACAATATCTGTGCAATGCAACGTACTCAAGCCTCTGTGAGTCTGGTTTCTGTCCCAAGTCTTGTTCCCATTTGAATTCCTCTGGTTCTTGCAGGGGGCTGGCTCCCTCCTCTTAGCTTGAGCATGCTGCTAAGGTGTGACTGGTGGTGGGTATTTGGTGAGGGTCTTCAGCCCATAGTCCTGGAGGAGAAAGTTGCCATGGTGAGCTCTTGGTCAGGGACAGAGAGGACCACAACGTCACTGTTCCCTGGGAGCCATAACTCACATCAAATGAGAAATACAGCATGGGCTTACCCACAGACAGGCAGGCTATCCTCCTGTTCGTAGTGGGCAGCAGAAGCTTGGTGGAGGGCAGAAAAGCAGGCATCATAGCCCAGCCTGTCATAGCATTTGCACAGCTGTACTGTGGAGCTCCCTAGCCTGGTTTACGGCCTCTCTCATGCACATCTTTAGGGAGAAACAAGAAAAATTGCAGGTTAGATTTGGCCAGTGGAGTCAAAACCTGCTGGATGGTTATCGCTACTCACCTGGCACTATTAAATCTCACCTAGAAGGGAGGCAGACTTGGCTAATGCAGTTCACCTGTGGCTCCAGTGTGAGAAAGAAATCCACAGCCCAGAAAGTGTTTCCACAGTTGATGATGGCCAATGCTTTTTCCAGCTCAGGAAAGCTGCTGCCAAGAACAGGACAGCATGCAAAAAGCATAAATGCCTCCTCAGCAACACAGCAGATGCCCCCGGGCAGCTGCCAGCAGGTTTTCTACCTGCCTTCCCACTTCAGGGAAGGACATTCCCTGAAAAGCCCAACAGTTGCTTTGACTTTCAGCCTGGGCCAAGTGGGACCTTCATCAACTTCTCGCCTCGCCAGCTGCCATGAAAGCAGCGATGGCAGGTGTGAAATTGCAGGTGACTTGCTTGCTTCTGGCACTCCAGTGCTGTCATTTTGGGCTTTTGACAGCCTCTGAGTGGGCAGGAAGAGGGGATGGCACTGAATCCATGCATTCTGGAGCAGGCCTTGGGTCGTGGAGCGCTTGGGTGGAAGGAAAAGGGTTAAAGGGGAGACAGGAAACACTTTGTTCAGGGCTTATTCCACAGGATGATTTCGGGGAAAGGAGGGGCTGCAATCAGGCAGGATGTATTCACTTTGGGATCTTGGGAAATCAAGCCCAGCCTTGATTTGAAGAGGAAAATATAGCGCAGCCCACACTGCACAAAACAGCAATGTCCCCGCTTCACCTTATCTCGTGTCAGCACAAACAATCCAGATAACATAAAAATCAGACATGGTGAAATGCTGGCTTCACGTGAACAACCAAGATGTCCCATGGGGAAATGTTACGGTTTGAGCAGAAAGACAGTGGGGGTAGTCCTAGAAAGCCCTATCCTAAGATAGAGAGGAAGGGCCCTCTCCAGCCCTCACTGTGTTTCCTCCTCCCCCCTTGCCTCAGCTGCTACCAGGGACCCCAGGTTGGGCCTTGGGTGGAGA